AGTGCTTGACTAGCACGGCATTTCTCAGGCCTCCCTCGGGAAATGCCTGGCTCTTCATTTCCATTTGTCTTTTAACAACAGAAAAATACTAGAGCAGGTTTTCTGTTGCAAAGAGCTCCGCAAGCCCACCACGGGGCGGGATGGGTTTTTGTTAACGCTCTGGATTCCTCCCTGTGTGGTCTCTGGGATTATCCGACGATCGTGTTTGCACACCTACCAGCGCAGGTTGTGCTTTTGTACATTTAAGACTTTTTACAGCAACAGGACTATTTACAATGCTTTATTACCTGTTGCTCCATGTTGTGTGATAACAAAATCAATGGTGTGGGCGAGTGAGTCAGCGGGGAGGTTGGGGTGCAGCAGTCGTCCTCTGCGGTTGACTGTGTGGGTCTCTTTGCAGCTGCAAGGACCGCAAGAGAGGTGCCAACAACTACAGGAGGTGTCTCAACCGTTCCCGGTGAAAGCACAGCTCTCCTGGGCAGCAGCAAAGCCACAGAGACCACCAGAGCAGACACCAGTAATGTCTCACAGCGTGAAACAACAGCCACCACCCCAGCACCACTGACCACCCCTGCACTACAGGCCACCTCAGCAGCTCCCACCACCTCCTTTGCCCTTGACACCACCGCAGTGAGCCGCACACCCACGGGAGAGATCACCGCAGGAGCCTCACACAGCCTCAGGTGGGATGAATTCACAACGGTAGCAGCCGGGACACAAACTACAGCCAGTGTTCCCCCTTTGCCACTTAGATCTACGGCTGGATCCACAACACACACAACTCCATTAGCAACCATCACCATGTCAGCATCAGCTGCTATAACAAATCCTCCAGCATCAGAGGTAACAACTCTCCGGGTTACCCCCGCACCAGAGAGCACAACACCCGCAGTGAGCTCCCTGGCAGGGACAGAGACCCCCAGCACCGCCATGGACACCTCCACCGTTGTCTTTCACACAACCGCTCCAGCCACGACAGCAAGTGCACAGTCCTCCAGGCCGGCAGCACAGACCACCAGAGCCAACGGTACGACAACTGTCTCCACTGCTTTGTACACCACCCCCATGTCAACTGGTGCTGAACTGGAGGAAAATACTACTGCCTTAACAGCAGCACCAACACCACCATCAGCTCGGGTATCCACATCAACAGTAACACCAACACCGACGACAGCTGTAGCCCTTGAGACCTCTCCCGTGGGCACCACTGCAGCCTCCACTACCTCCGTGCCCCAGGAAATCACAACTCTGGTGTCTCTCCCCAGCGCCACACTTGCGGGGGCCACCAGCACCGAGCCAGAAACAACCACAGCACCCCAAAGCACCACTCCCGTGACCAGCACTGCCACCAGCACCACCACGGTGCAGGTTCCTCCTACCACCACCACAACAGCAAGTGCACAGTCCTCCAGCCCGGCAGCACAGACCACCAGAGCCACCGATACAACGACTGTCTCCACTGCGCTGTACACCACCCCCATGTCAACTGGTGCTGAACTGGAGGAAAATACTACTGCCTTAACAGCAGCACCAACACCAACATCAGCACTGGTATCCACATCAACAGTAACACCAACACCGACGACAGCTGTAGCCCTTGAGACCTCTCCCGTGGGCACCACTGCAGCCTCCACTACCTCCGTGCCCCAGGAAATCACAACTCTGGTGTCTCTCCCCAGCGCCACACTTGCGGGGGCCACCAGCACCGAGCCAGAAACAACCACAGCACCCCAAAGCACCACTCCCGTGACCAGCACTGCCACCAGCACCACCACGGTGCAGGTTCCTCCTACCACCACCACAACAGCAAGTGCACAGTCCTCCAGCCCGGCAGCACAGACCACCAGAGCCACCGATACAACGACTGTCTCCACTGCGCTGTACACCACCCCCATGTCAACTGGTGCTGAACTGGAGGAAAATACTACTGCCTTAACAGCAGCACCAACACCAACATCAGCACTGGTATCCACATCAACAGTAACACCAACACCGACGACAGCTGTAGCCCTTGAGACCTCTCCCGTGGGCACCACTGCAGCCTCCACTACCTCCGTGCCCCAGGAAATCACAACTCTGGTGTCTCTCCCCAGCGCCACACTTGCGGGGGCCACCAGCACCGAGCCAGAAACAACCACAGCACCCCAAAGCACCACTCCCGTGGCCAGCACTGCCACCAGCACCACCACGGTGCAGGTTCCTCCTACCACCACCACAACAGCAAGTGCACAGTCCTCCAGCCCGGCAGCACAGACCACCAGAGCCACCGATACAACGACTGTCTCCACTGCGCTGTACACCACCCCCATGTCAACTGGTGCTGAACTGGAGGAAAATACTACTGCCTTAACAGCAGCACCAACACCAACATCAGCACTGGTATCCACATCAACAGTAACACCAACACCGACGACAGCTGTAGCCCTTGAGACCTCTCCCGTGGGCACCACTGCAGCCTCCACTACCTCCGTGCCCCAGGAAATCACAACTCTGGTGTCTCTCCCCAGCGCCACACTTGCGGGGGCCACCAGCACCGAGCCAGAAACAACCACAGCACCCCAAAGCACCAGTCCCATGGCCAGCACTGCCACCAGCACCACCACGGTGCAGGTTCCTCCTACCACCACCACAACAGCAAGTGCACAGTCCTCCAGCTCGGCAGCACAGACCACCAGAGCCACTGATACAACGACTGTCTCCACTGCTTTGTACACCACCCCCATGTCAACTGGTGCTGAACTGGAGGAAAATACTACTGCCTTAACAGCAGCACCAACACCAACATCAGCACTGGTATCCACATCAACAGTAACACCAACACCGACGACAACTGTAGCCCTTGAGACCTCTCCTGCGGGCACCGCTGCAGCCTCCACTACCTCCGTGCCCCAGGAAATCACAACTCCGGTGTCTCTCCCCAGCACCACACTTGCGGGGGCCACCAGCACCGAGCCAGAAACAACCACAGCACCCCAAAGCACCACTCCCGTGGCCAGCACTGCCACCAGCACCACCACGGTGCAGGTTCCTCACACCACCCCAGCAGAAAGGACAACAACAGCTGGCACCACGATGGCAACAGTGCGCAGTACAACCGCACATGTTACCCTCCTTGTAACTACAGCCGCTTCTACCACCCGCACCACCGCAGCACCTGAGACCAGCGAGACGGCCCATGCCACCATGTCGCCCTCTGGAACCACAACAGCTAGGATGACAACTACACAGGGCACCGCTGCGCCAACCCAGAACACGACAACCACACGTGAGTGCCACAGCTCCCCTGCCTGCATCCAGGGTAGCAGGGGCCCTCGAGGGATGCTGTGCTGGAGGGAAACCCCCAAGTCAGAAGTGTCTTTGGTGCAACTTTTACTGGAGTCTTTTTGGTGCCTTTACTCCTTTGGGCCTTTTCCTGGGGCGCTGGCCTCTCCCGCGGGGTTGGGCGAGGGCTGTGGGAGACCTTCGCCTGGCGCTATGAATTGATAGTCGGGGTGGGGGGGGAAGCTGCTTTTCTGGAAACCAGACCTGGAAGTGGGGGGTTGACTTGTCATGGGAACAGGCTGGCCCCAGAAGTGGAGGCAGGGCAGGGTGGCACCTTGGTGAGGCAGGAGGTGTCGGGGCCAAGATCCTGCTGCACCCGCACCAGGACCGTCCTCCTTCTGCGAGTCCATTCCTAGCATCTGACAAAGTTGGCATTGCCTGTGAAAGCTCCTGTCTCTGAACCAGTCAGTCTCTAAGGTACCACCTCGCCCTGCTTCTGCCTGACCGGGTGATGAGTGGCGTGGAGGGGTGCCCATCGGAGGAGAGACTAGCGAGGCATAGAGATGCTGTTCAGTGTAGAGATGCTGAGGAGGGCAGGGGGAGGGCTGACAAACTGCGCAGTGGCAAAGAGAAGGTCAGTAGGGATTGATGATTGATGGTTTCTGCCCCTCTGACGGCGACTTTCTCTTTCCAGCTTCTGAAACAAGTGCTCTAACCTGGCCCCCAAGCGCTCCCGGCAGCACGGCGCTGCAGTCACCCTCCGCGCTGCCCACCTGCCCGGCTCCTCCTGCCAACGCCGGTGAGTGCTGCCCGTCCGCCCGTCCTCATCCTCGGCAGACTGGGGTAGCTGGGCCGAGGGACATGACCCCCTCGCCTGCTGCTCTGTGGGCATCGTCCTCAGAGCCACAGTGCCCTCTTGTCCTCTTGTGTCCCTCCAGCTGGGACCGGGAGCTGGCAGTCCTGCCCCCAGCCCTGCTTCCTGACCCTGAGGAAGGGGATCTTCTACCCTGCTTTCTCCTGGGGCCTTGGCAGGAGCATGGAAAAACCATGGCTTCAATCTCTGCCCCGGCTCTGAGCACTCAGCTGGACTCCAGACACCATCCCTGGCTGCCTCTGCCTAGGGTCCGTCTCCCACAGCGGAGACCGACTGCCCGACTTCATCCCCTCAGCCTTACCAACCCTGCCCTGTTTGCCCACCTTGGGTGGAGGGCTGGGCTGATCTGCCAGGATCAGAGGGATGGACCCTTTTGAAGCTGGTCCCATCTCCCTCTCTGCCACAGATCCCTTGGATGTCCATAGTCATGTCCCTTAGCCTTTTCCTGTCTCCATTCCAGAGTGTGTCACTTAAGGATCACAATAACCCTTCTTCTCACCCCCTCCTATTCCAGCCAGTCTACTCCGATGTAGCCATGCAGCAAAACCGGCTTTTTATTTGGGGATGGAGGGGTTGGATGGTGCATGAATGTTTCCATAATAGCCTCCACTGCCAGCAGCGTTTGGACTCTGAACCTGCCCGCAACCGCAGCCTCTTGCACCTGAGCTCAAGTTACTGGTTTACTCCGAATCAAAGTCTCTCTCTCTCTCCTCCCAAAGAATTAGGAAACTTACCTTATACACGGGGTCGACCTATAATTGAGCCCCCGATGGTCCATCTCCGTGTGCTTGGTCTTGGTGGGGGTGGAGGTGAGGGGGGGTCTTGCAGTGCTGTTGTCATGCAAATAATCAGTGAATCTTTGCTGTCTCTGCTCACAGTCGCGAATCACCTCTTGCTGTCACTGGACGTAAGCACTTCGCTCAACCTCACCAACCCCGTGGTCAGGGACCTGATTTTGTCGAAGGTGAGAGCCCACGGACAGACGTGGGGTAGGGTCCTAGCAGCTCCCGGGCTGGGCGCGATGGAGCAACAGGGAACGTCCAAGGCTGGCGGTTCAGAGCACCGATGGCTCGGGGTGGGGGTCTCCGTGCTACCCCGGGGGGGAGATCCAGCTGGGTGAGAGCAGGACTGGGCTGGGGAAGCTAGTGGGAGCGCAGACCCCCTGCAAGGGCAGCGTAGGAGGGCGCAGTCCCTGAGACAAAGGCTGTGCTCACCATGGCGCTGTCCCTCCAGCTTCTCCAGGATCTGAAGAGCAATTTCCCCTGCACCAACTTCACCCTGCAGTGGAGGGGGGAAACGAAGGTGTGACGTGGACCTGTTGGCCGGCAGCTGGGGCAAAGCCCTCGGGATGAGAGCAGGGGGTTTTCCTGCTGCTGCTGCCTGGGCCTGGAAGCAGAGCCCCCCCTGCCGGGCGTGGAGACCCCTCGGAGGAGACCCTCTGCGTCTGTCAGCCCAGACAGGTCTTTCCAGGGCCACAAACCTGTGTGTCCCCAAAAGCAAGCCCCATAGGAGACTCCCCGGGGAACCCCAGAGCCGGGACCAGCAGCAACATCTGGATGCTGCCTTAAGGGTGAGGGTGGGGGAAGAGAGAAACCTGGTCAGTTTGGGCAGAGCGGGACTTGAACCCCGGACTCGCACACCCCAGGCGAGTGCCCTGGTTCCCGGGGTCCTGCCTGCTCCTTGGAGGCTGCTCCTTGATCTCTGAGCCCCTGAGATCTTGCATGAAACAGCAGCCTCGTTTCCCCAGTGCGAGGCGCAGCCCCGAGAACGAGGATGCCGACCGTTCCTTTGCGGGTCTGCATGCGGCTGCATCCCCGGCTACAAAAGAAAGGCCAGATCCTGCCTTCCCCTGAGCAAAGAGGGGGTTTTCTGGCCAAAGGGCATTTCTGGCCAGGGTCAGGTTGTCTAGTGCAGGTAAAACAGGCACAAGAAAACCAGACCTGGGTTCTCACGGGGGACCAGAGGTGCCAGCCTTATGGGACACATTCCCTGCTCCGCTGCACGTTCATTTATATGCTTCAGCCCTCAAATAAATTCCTGACTAGCTGGTCTGCTTCTGTGGCTCCCGGAGGTGCTTGGGAGGGTTTCTGCTCCGTTTCCAGGCTACATGTGTGTTCGAGAGGCCTGGTGCTGGGCACGTAGCCCTGGCAGGGGAAGCCTCTGTGTGCAGATGGGCAGTAGCCAGGGCCACGGCAGTGTGAGCTCTCCTGTGCCGTCCTGCCCCAGGGCCCGCGGGATGGTCCTTGCAGTCTACAGAGCCGTGGCGGGCAGCTCTGGGCCTCTCGTGGGACTTCCAGGACGCTGCAATGATGCACGGACCTCTGGGGAGGGAAGACTCGATTCTCACCCCCACCCCGGGCCTCTGTTCTGCTGAGCCCCAGAGCAGGATTGTGACAGGGTGGCAAAAGCCTTCCTGGTTCCTGCCATGCCCTTGGTCTAGGATTGTCACTGCAAGAGCCTCTGCGTGCTCTCGTGGGCTCTCAGCCACGGCCTGGACTGGATCCTGCTGTGATGAGCAAAGGGAAGGGGGGTCCTGGAAGGGGATCTGCCCTGCCCAGGCTGTGGAGGAGCCCCCGTCCATCCCTTCGCTGCCTTCCAGCTCAGTCTCTTCCTTTCACTGTCCAGGCCCTGCCATCAGGGGCTGGGCTGACTGCAGGCCCAGCTGCCTGGCCCCGGGGCAGGGGACACGTCTCCCAGGGTGCCCCGTGGCCCTGTCCTGTTGCACCGTCCCCTTCCAGCATTTACTTCCTTCGGCCACGATCCACCTGCTACAGCCTGAACCGCAACAGGCAGAGGGGGACACAAGTGCTTTGCACAAATGCACTCGTGCACACACCCACATGCTCACACATGCACATGCACGTGTCCTCGCACACAAGAACAAGCACACGCAGCACACTAACTCACACGCAAAGCACATGATAAAAGACACATGCATACACACAGTAACACACATGCACACAATGCAGCACCGGTGACAGAGGACCAGCAGATGACGTGTAATCCAGTAAACCCAGTGACCGGCTCGCTTCCTCTACGGGTCCCAGGCAGAAGGTTAAGTAACATGCCCAAGGAGGTCAGTGGCAGGCAGGGCCGGGCTGGGGGTGGGCCTCCCAGGTCCTAGGTGAGCTCCGAGCTGTCCTGGCTCCTCTGGGGTTTAACAGAAGCAGGAGCCGAAGCTGGTTTGATGATGCTGAGTCCCCAAGGGCCAAGAGCCTCTGTCCCTTCAGGCCTTGGGCCACTGGAGGGAGAGAGAGACCTACACTGCCGAGGTCTGCAGAGGGCAGGCAGCAACCGTGTCCATCCTGGATGAATTCAGTGCGGTGGAAAAATCCCCACATCTGCACTTCCCAGGACATGGAGCCCTTGGGGAGGTGCTGGCAGCCCGGGCACGGGCAGGGGGAGACGCGAAGGACGACTGGAGGGGGTCTGGGCTGTGTGCGATGAAGGGCTTCCTGCAGCAGCAAATGCCCTGAGGAGGGGGAACAACCCGGGCTCCCTGTTTGGAGCAAAGCCCCCTCCCCTGATGATTTGCATGCATGTAGAAATTTAGGACCTGGAAAATTTCCCTCATTTAACGAGGGGGCTTTCCTGGGTGTCCTGCCCACTTCCCTGTGCCAGCCCCAAGGACGTGGGATCATGTACCAGCCCTGCTGGCATCGGCCCATTAAGCCGCGGGGCTGCGTGGGAGCCGGTGTGGCGGGAAGGCTGCGCAGACCCAGCCATCGGCCCTTGGCTGGGATTTTCCAGTCCCCTCGGCAGAGCTAATAAAGTGAGTCACTGATTAACCCGTCAGCTGGGTCGGTGGGACCAGAGCGGAGTCATTAGGCATTGGAGACAGTTGCCCTGTTGGCTATATGGGGGATGGTGAAGGAAGGGGATTGCTCACCCCTGGCATTTAAAATCTGCAGGAGAAAAGGATTGCAGGGGTTATCCCCCCCCGAACGATGCTGAAGGATGACTGGGCTTTTATCCCATCCCTTGCCAGAGCCAATTTTTTGGGCCGCAGGCTCACCGAGCCGGGCAGACGGGCCTTCAGACATGATCTCTCCACCCCAGCGGGAAGCAGCATCGCTGCATCCACACATGCCAGGGTGTTAATGAGCATGGCAGGGCTGGCTGGCTTGCCCGTGGCACCGCACAGACGCAGGGAGGCAGGTGCCACGGCCCAGGGTGGTATGTTTGCAGCGCAGCTGCAAGAGCCACGTAAAGGGCACGTGGAGAGGGATGCCAGGGGCTTGGTGCAGCAGTAGAAGGGCTCTGTCCAGCCCTGCTCCTAGCCCTGAGGCTGGGAGAGGGTGCAGAGAAAGCAAAGAGTGAATTAGAGCAGCCTGAAGGCCTCCCTAACTACCACCAGCTGGCACTGCTCATTCCTCCAGCACGGCGCAGGGCCAGGAAGGCAGAGGGGCGAACCCCTGGATTCGGCTCTGCACCGGGGCACTGTCACACGCAGGCGCTCACTTCTCTGACCACAAGCCAAGCCAGACCTGCCCCCATTACCAGCCCCCCAAACTCTCCTTTCCATACGCGCTGGAAGGGAGGCGAGGAGAAACCCGCGCTGGGATCAGAACGGAGCCAAGCCGGTGCAGGTTGGGCCAGGGCTGCCTGCCTGCCCCGCCCCCCCCCCCTGCCCATGGGCCCAGGTGTGGGGGAGCCACAGGTGAGGCTGCTCAAGGGCGGGGAGCTGGAGCTGGTGCAGGTCCTCAGCCTGCTACAGAGGCAGCTCCCTGGGACCCTTGGTCCACCCCCAGCAGCTGACCGGTCTGGGAGACAGTGCCGGGGGCTTGCTGTTCGCTTGTAGATCCTGCTCCTACATCCGTCGGCCCTCCGGAAGAGGTGAGCTGGTGTGGGGCAGACAGGACCTCTGCTCTGGCCTGAGCACCCCGGTGCATGTGGGTCTGCTAACAAGAATTGCTGTCCTGGGTCAGCACAATTGCTGTCCTGGGCAAAGCCTATGGCTAGCCTGGGAGCCTGTCTCCAGCAGGGGCAAACAGCAGCTGCTGCTAAGGAGGGGCACGAATACACCCCTCTTTGCACCCCCCATTACCAGTGGCAGCCGTGCTGCTGTGGTCTCTCTCCCAGCGTTTTGGCATGGCGGGCGTGCCCCTTTCCTGCCCCCCCCCCCGG